CCGGACTTGCCCAAATCCGTCCTGACAAGCCCAGCCCGGCCCGGCCCTACCTTCATGCTGTGGTTGCCTGGCCTTAAAATCCGTCCTGGCAAGCCCAGCCCGGCACGACCCGGCCCTACCCTCAGGCCATGGTTGTCTGGCCTTACAATCAACCCGGTTGTTGGCTCTGGCCCGGCCTTGCATGTCGTCCCACTAATCTCGGCTAATCAACTTCACTAGGTACCTGTTTGTGTATGCAAATTTCCATTTAGCCTACACGTAAAAAGTATTTTTATCTTATTGCCCTTTCTCTGACCCGCCTTAACATTGTTGTTAATTGCTACCCATATGCATATTTTGTAACCTATGTCATCTGATCAAAGCCTTCGAAACTTTCATGACTTTCTCCCTTTTCTTCTTATTTCTCAAATCCCATAACCTACCATTCTATTCTATTCTATTCTATTCTATTCTATGAGCTTACATGCTCGTTTGCATAAGTTTTATCTGTTGGACTCCTGTTGGTGTTGAAATACTTCCCCATTCTTCTCTCTCCAAAAGATCCCGCCCTCCCACAGGAATAGTATTGGCCCTGGCCCCTCCTTCCTACCTTAGGGTATAGTTGCCCTGCCCTTGGCTACCCTTAATTCTTTAGAGCCCTAACCATTTGGCCCATTGCCATCCCTAGTCTGAGGGTCAAAATCATGGCCATTGCTACCTTAGGGCATAGTTGCCTGGCCCTTGGCTACGTGGCTCATGCCCTAATTCTTTAAGGCCAGGTCGACCAGCTCATGCCCTAATTTTTTAAGCAGGCCAGATTGACCGGGCCCGAGCTCGGCCACCTTGCCCATTGCCATCCCTAATATGAAGGACAAAATCATGGTCTTTTTTCTATGAGATAAATTTATATAGAGCTGAGGCTCTAAACAATCAAATTGGAGCCTATCTCCACCTTGCCCATTGCCAACCCTAATCTGAGGGTCAAAATCATGGTCTTTTTTCTATGGGATAAATTTATATAGAGCTAAGGCTCTAAACAATCAAATTTGAGCCTATCTCAAAAATTTCACTACAAAGGGTTGTTTTGATGCCTCGATATCTTCAAATTGATCATCTCCACAATATGCATGGACATGAGAAAAAAATGGATTGCAAGTTTTCACAAGTTTGCATGGACATGAGGAAAAAATGGATCACAAGTTTTGAAAATAGTGTATTTTGAAAATAGTGTATTTGAAAATAGTGTATTTTGAAAAAAATGGATCACAAGTTTTGAAAATAATGTATTTTGTAACGCGTTGACCGTCAACTTGAAACCGTTAACTTTCAAGATTTTCAAGTTTTCATAGATATGTCGATCTACACTAATTTTGAAGCTTTAAACTTTATAAATAAATGTAAAAATATATTTTAAGCCTATCACAAATATTTCCAATGTTGCAACCATATTTCTCGATACTATTTGAAAGTAGGCTCTAATTTGATTATTTAGAGCCTGGACTCTAGACAAACCACACCCTTTTTCTATTTGACTTCCCAAAATAAATGCTGGCCTCAAGATGGGATACCAACGAACAAACCAGTTTTTGTATTGATGTGGCACTCATAATATATATAACAAGTTTTTTTCTTCATGTTCTTTAATAACAAGTTTTTTTTTTCATTTTCTTTAAAAAAAATAAAGCGATGTGTCACTCATAATATATATAACTAGTTTTTTTCTTCATTTTCTTTTTTAAAAAAAGGATCCTAAGGATTGGAGGTAGGTTGCAAACAAAAACCATCTAAGTTGCTTGTAGTGGGGGTGTGGGGTGAGGGTGCGATGTTGATTCGCGAGGTTGCAAACAAAAACAACCTAAGGGGGTGAGGATGGGAGTGGGATGATGGATCGACACATGCTCTAAATTTCCTAGATATAGAGAGATTTCTTTACAAATTTTTAAATATTTTTAAATTAAAAAATATTATTGAACATTAAACAAACTAATATAAACTCACAAAATACGATATATAATGGGCACATGAATTTTTTTTTAAAAAAATTATTTATTCATTAAATTTTATTTAATTAATAAATATTTGTGTAAGAAGGTGAAAAACTTAAACTTTTCTTTAACCCGTCCCAAATCCGATGGGATCTATTCAATGTAGACTTTTACCAAAAGTTTCTATGATAATTTAATTAATAAATACTCTTAATACCATAAAAGACAATAAATGTTATGATGGCATGTCGGGATAACCAATAACAATATAAAGGAGCTGATTTTTTATTGATAAAAATAGATTTTATTTAAAATTTTGTTCCTTACATCATCCAAAAGCTAAGTTCAGAGATCTCCATAAGTCTCAACAAAATATCCTTTGAACATTTGACAAATAAGAAGCTCATCCAAAAGCTAAGTTCAGAGATCTCCATAAGTCTCACCAAAATATCCTTTGAACATTTGACAAATAAGAAGCTAACGGCGAGGAATCCACCTCTATACCTTCGAGGAAGGTGAGAAAGAAAGCATTAAAGAAAAGGAGATATATGAATGTTTTTTACTCCATGATTTACGCAAGGATTAATAATAGAATTTGGATCATGCAACAAATGAGGGAACCTTGCTCTCAATTAACAGAGAGAGTCACAAATATCTCTATGGTCAACTCCTTCTACTAACTCCTATTTATAATCGAAAACTTGGATTCTCATAAACCCCAAATTCTTACAAATAAAATGCATCATTGTATAACAATTAGAAAAGTATTTAAAGAGACTACTTACTTTTAGCACAAGGAGGTCACAATCACTCTTGCACAAGGAAGTCACAATCACTCTTGTTTTTTAGATTTTAAATCGCGTGACTCTGAGCATGTCATTGATTAGATTCAAAGTTCAAAAAAATATTTTTAAAATTTCGTAACGCACCCCAAGTCATTCAATTTGATGTCTAATAGGTGAGAGTAATCGTGACCTTCTTGTAAGAAAGATAAATGGTCTCATAATATACAATTATATAACAATTTTACCCCTACAATTCTATAACAATTTTATCCCTAAAAGAAGAGTCCTAAAAATTTTATACTCGAATCTCAGCCATTTAGAGGCATTTTGTTTTTAGTCTAATTCAGCAGTAATAAACCTATGATAATTTTGACGCGCTTTGCAATGCCTCCTAGTATATGACCCCTGCCCTTTGCAGTTTGGAACCCAGTTATTGAGAGGTTTCAGTAGGAACTCGACTCTTGTAAATCTGGATATCTCTCATTGGGGTAGGATCATGCTCATTAAAGCAACTCTTTCAAACCTTTTTAGTGTATTATACCCTTTTCAAAGCTCCAAACCTAGTCATGAATAGGATAGAGTTGAGGATGAAAAGATTTCTTTAGAGTGGTTCGGGTGAGGCTAGGAAGCATCACTTGGTCAATCGGGGTTCAGTTTTCCAAGGTCTTGGGATTAAAAAATTAATACCGATGATTGAAGATTTGTTGCGGAATGAGCTCCATGGTAAGTGGTTACGGTGACAGAACACCAACCGCAAATGAAACTCAAAACGTTATGTTGTAGCACCGACTATCTTGACGATCTATGCCTTGAGCCCACTCCTCCCACATAAGTTGGTCAACTTTGAAAACTGCCACTTTGGAGAAGACACTAACCGGTGCCAAAGGATTCAAATGCTGGGGATGGTCAGAGGATAGATTCAAGGTCAATAGAGAGCGTGCTGTATGATCCAAATTTGCATTTTAAATCACATTTTTGAATTACTGTCAAAAGACTCAAAATTTATTCAAATCATACTTTGATTCAAAATTAATTAAAATTTTGTTAAAGAATGCAAGTTTTGAAAAGAGAGAAAGTTATTTAAATACACTTATGAGATTGACTATTTAATATTTTACCCTTATGTTTTGAATTAATACTGAAATACCATCAACTATTTAACATTTTAACCATATATTTTTACTAAATTTCAAAATACACATGATTTTTACTTAGAATAGTAGAAAAAGTTCAAAATGTTCACAATTGAAATGTGATGTGTATTTTAATAAATCTTCCTTAAAAAAAATCATCAATGTTTTCTTCAAGATTTTGAATGCATTTGGAAGACTAAAAAAAATTTTATAAAATTTTAAAAGGTAATTTATCAAATTACGTATGAGAGACCAACAATTTTGAATGCATTTGGAAGACTAAAAAAAAATTTATAAAATTTTAAAAGGTAATTTATCAAATTACGTATGAGAGACCAACAACTTAAAGTTTTATCCATGTGTTTTGAATTTGTTTCAAAATACATAACAAAATACATATGATCATGAGTTGGAATAGTTCCAAATGTGTAAGATACTAAATAATAACAAAATACATATGATCATGAATTGGAATAGTTCCAAATGTGTAAGATACTAAATAATGCACCTCTCATTAGTATTTTGATAAATTTTAAAATTTTAAATAGTTTTTTACCATTTTTTGAATCTTTTTAGAATACTAATTTAACAATTGTGATTATTCAAATTTTCATTTTCACAAATCTTTTCATCAACTCAACCCGAACTGAGCACAGCAACTCGACAATAAGCAACTCAACCCGAAGCGAGCACATAAACTCGACAAGCAGCAAGGCGAGTCAGGAATACGCAAGCTGACTCCCACCGCCAGGTGGCTTCCACGAATTCTTAGTTTATAATTAAAGAAATAAAAAAATAAAATAATAATAATTGGTAAAAAAATAAAAATAGCCATAGTCTCAATACTCCGTAGTCCATACTGAACGGGAAACGGCAAGTCCACTATCATCCACATGAGCGGAGGAAAAGCCCATCTCAAATTCCATAGTCCCGAAAAAGAAAACTATATCGTAAACCAAAGGACTATAAAGTGCATGTACTCATGAGTGTCATCACCGTTTAATGAATTAGTGGACTTAGAGAGGGAGAGAGAGAGGGCCCACCAGAAGATTACCTGGTAAAAGTCCCCCTCGTTCTCGTCTCCCAAAGTGAGAGAGAAGAGAGAGAGAGATATTTTTTTAGTTAAATTTCTTATCCAAACACAAGTCCTTGGTTTCATTTTTATGGGCATTCTGGCCACCTCCTCTCTCTCTCTCTAAAACAGTTTTGATCCTGTAACCATGGCGTCTTCTCCAATAACTCCAGTGTCTGCAATTTATTGCGCTCGATATTCGAATTCCACCCATTCCAATAAAACATGGCTTCTTTGCATGCAGAGATACCCGACAATAACTGCTATGTCCAAAGAAATTTACTTCAACCATGACGGTTCAGCCACTAAGAAACTCCAGGTCTCTCTCTCTAAGAAATTTAGTTCACATACTCTTCTCTCTTATCACACAGCCATTTCATACTCTCTCTCTCTCTCTCTCTCTCTCTCTCTCTACACACACTACTACTATACTACGTACGTACTACTACTTACTTCTTCTTCTCTTCTCTCTCTCTCTACTACTACTACTACTACTACTCTCTCTCTA